CGTAAAGGCTGCTGTAATTATTTGGGCTTGGCCCATAATCATAATTAACTAAACCTATAGTCTAATGCTTCGTACACTCATTATATAATGAGGCTACATGAGGCGATGGCCATTAGGGTTTTCGATAATCAGCCACACAACTCAAAATAAGACAAAACGTTGGTTCTCTGAGATTTAACCTCGACGGCACTAGCATCCCGGTTTGATCTAGTTTGTGTGCGTGTGGATACCGGTAGAGGCACGACAATTGGAGTGCTCTAAATCTCGATTTGGTTTATTCATCTTTCCGCTGCGAATAACCAGGTATATTCATAACCCTAAAGATCTAGATTTATTTCAGTATTTGCATGAGATTCTAGGCAAATAGAATTCATAAATTGTTTTATAAATCGTTATAAACCGGTATGAATTCCTACATAAACTCTATCAGCTATATACTTGCATCGTAACGAATCAATCAATCTTTATAATTACTATATTGTGCCATATAGTAATTCTGATTAGGTGAAATCGAGCAATTTTGACCGACACAAAGAATCTTTTTAAATAAACTATTAACAATATGGCAACCCCACACAAAGAATGTTTTTAAATCAGCTAAATTAACTTCAACTTTGATTATCACAAGTATTTGTTAAATCAAAACGCATAAATATAATAAACTGGATTTTGAAACATAAAAATGATAATTAACCATCATCTTAGAGCTTTTAAGAGCCACCAGAAGCTGCTTAGTATCGCCTAATGCTGCCTAAAGTTGAATATGATGCCTATTAACCCGTGTAGAAACATACTACCTCCATTTTCTTACAAATCATTTAATTTTAGCACGTCAACAATAATTGTCCAGTTTGTTGACCGCTGAGTATTATTCGTAGTCGTCAAACTAAATCATCCCTTGCAGTTTCTTGTAACCTGCAGAAATTACTAGGTTGGTGTCTTATATATATATATGAAGGGCTAATGTAACATTGATACGTACAAGAATACTTTTTTTTTTGGTAAAATCGTACCAGAATACTTTCACTTTTAGTTTCGCTACAAGTTTACAACGAGGGTGATGTTTCGTCTGTTCTGCTGTTTCATCAGCTGCACCAAGATAAGACCGTCTTCGCCTCAACCACAAGTGGTTGAAACGGGCAAGAAAATTCCACCGTCTCCTCCTCCACCCAAAGGGGCGAAAATGGAGAAGAAAAAGCCACGGCTGTCTCCGAGACTGCCAGTAAAGGCTTCAGGCCGTCGCAAACGCTATGGAAAAGACGCTGGCGGTGTCGGAGGTTGCGGTGGTGGATGTGGCGGTGGTGAATGTGGGGGCGGCTGATAGAAAGTTATAATGAAGACATGAGTTTTTTTTTTTGAGAAAGATGAAGACATGAGGTTTCGTAGTTACATGTGAATATTTTCTTCTGCGTATTGTGTTGCTTTATATGTGTATGTTGATTTTAACATGTAATCGTTAAAAATTAATGTATATCCCCTATATTTGAGAATCATTTAAAAAGTTGTAACCTTAAGTTTGTAAGAATTAAAAATAACCCCAATCCTATGTGGCATATCTATTTGACTTCTATTTCAAATCTCAAGGATTCTAGAGCATGTGATATAATATATAGTCTAAAAATTATATTCTCTAGCAATTTAATATTTCGTAGACTATAGTTTGTCGCATATATCAAATATTTATTGTTTCGCATGCTTTCCTCAAATAAAAGATACGGAATTACCTAATGTGATTAAAATATATATGACAACTAATGATTTTAAACAATAAAGATTTGATAATAATCTGTATACTTTTTCTCATTTTGTTTATTTATTTATTATTAAAATAAATTACACAATTACATTAGTCATATAATAAAAATCTAGATTTTTTTTTGTGTATGTTATATTTCGAATTTTTCAAAATGAGTATAAATTACTAAAATTGTTTAAAGTCTCACATAAACTTTTAGGATTAAGGTTTTAATTTGTTTTCTATATTAAAATATAATGATTATAAGACCATATGAAGAAATAATTTTAGTTTATATATATATATTTCATATCGTTTTAATTAAACTATAAATCGTATGAAAATACATACTTATATTTTGATTGTCTTCACACTACAAGAAAAACTGCTTATAGCCACAAATTAGCTACAAAAGTTTTGTGACTGTAGTTTATAAGCTACAAATAGCCACAAAATAGCAACAATATTTGAAAAGCTGAAATTAGTAGCTATTTTGTAGTTTTTAGTGGCTAAATAGCTACAAACTATATCTTGTGGCTATTTATAGAAATTAAGTCACAATTAGCCACAAAATAGTTTGTGGAAATCAAATAACTACTATTGGCCACAAAATCAATAGTAGAAATATATTAACATAAACCCCAAAATTTCAATATTTAATCATATAGCTAAAGATAAATACAAAAACTAATTTGACAAAAAAAGATATTCTACACAAACTGATAATTAAAAACAAAAAAACTACATACCAAATTCTAAGTCCAGTAAGTGAGCTCAGTAAAAGAAAAAAAAAATCAATTTTTTTTCTAAACCCTTAACATACCCTAAAGTCAATCATCTAACACTAAAAACAAATTTTAAAAATAAACACTAATATAATTTCATTAAAAAAAATTCATAACTTAAACAAAGATATATAACTTCTGAAGATTTATGAACTTTTAACATATTTTTCCATACTGTAATCTCAAACCTCAAACTAACTTCCAAAATCCAAACCCTTCGTACCTCCAAACTCTATCTCCAACCTTAATTTCAAACCCTTACAAAGTCTAAATTATAATTTATGTAAAAATCAGAAAATAGCCACATAATTCTGGTTCCCGGGTAACTTTCCCGGCTAAGTATTTCAAGGTAAAATTTTTTACAAACACGCGGGCTTAGTTCTAATTCACAGCCACATAATTGTTTTTCATTAAAAACAAAAAGTAAAATACTAAACCTAATAATCCTTGTTCCTTCCGCCTCATTCACTAATAACAGCGATATCTTCTAACTTCCTCATAGTTGATTCTCTCTTCCTTTAGGCGATCTGTTTTTTTTTCAATCTATCTATATTCCTCTCCTCCTTACTATCGATTCTCTCATCTCTTGCTTAATCGCTGTACATTCTCTTCTCATAGGTGCTTCTTCTTCAGGGACAACTAATCAGAGGCGTCAAACTCGAATTTCTCTCTACGAGGCCAGCTTATTCTGCCGCTTCTCTTCATCCCCAGTCTCCTTTTGTCTCTTCGCAACCTGCTTCTCAAGGTGAAGTTCCTTAGACTTTTTTCCCTTTGATAAGAGTGCCCTTATATTGAGTAGATAAAATAAAGATAATCTTCGTGACGTAGCAGCACAGATGATGGAGCAGCGGAGGTTCGAGCTGATCCCTCAAGACTATATGAGGCAACCTATGTTGGTAATGTTGATTTGTCTTGTAACAACCCGTTCCCCCGGCGCCCGACCGGGGTTCAGCAAACGGGTGCTACGGACACGTGTCTACTCAATTAGACAACCCTACGTGTCTTTACTGGCCCCAGGAGTCGGCGGACGCATCTTTAATGAAATTCGATACACCCTTATCCACATACTTCTACATACAGTCCTGCGCATAGGAAGTAGAGATGGAAGGATGAGCAATTGGGATTACTCAGTGAAGTGACTTTAGACCAGCCTGCCCGCATGATACTCTACGCTACCTCATACGGAATTCAAGACTGACTAGCCACTACAATCAAAATGCATCAAACAAGCCGTACAACAATATCTCATCATAGAATTCTAGCACCCTAACGTTCATACATTTGCGAGGACTCAGCCATCACTTCA